TATCGACAAAGCTCGAATATTCTAACTCACTACTCTACGGGATGTCTGGTGAAAACATTACCAAGCTGCAGCGTGTACAATTTTTTTGGCACGTGTCGTGATGGGTATTGCAAGATCCGACCATGTCTATTCAGTGCTCGCTGAGTTGCATCGGTGTCCAGTTGCCGAACGAATACATTTATAAGGTCACACTCATTACACACGTAGTGCTTGCCACCAAAAAAAAACACAACACCTTGCTGATCTCATCAAGGAGCATAAGCCATCACGAAAACTCCGGTTATCCTCGCAGCGGCTTTTGGTGAATTATCAAACAAAATGGTCACTGCATCGCACACTTTCAGATGCGCTTCTGTAGCCATCTGGAATGCTCTTCCTTCCAATATTAGGCAGCTACTGGAGTTATCTACTTTTAATTCTAGATTGAAAATTCATTTCTTTAGAATTGATTTTTCTGTTTAGTTTGTTGTCCTTCCCCACACCTCCGATTAGCATGGTTGGCTACGTATGGTGCGAAATAAGTTCAACATGCTCGCTATTAAACTTGTGTGAACTGTTGTTACATGGTCTAAATGTGCACCGATCCACTCTGGTTTCTGTTTGTCCGTTTTGTAGTTGTGGTTTGTTTTGTCCAACCCAGGCCTACTTTTAATCATAGACTTGTAGTTTAAATTTACTCACCTGACTATACATGCTTTCCTGTCCATGTACTTTTATATATAATCCTGGGTGATTTATTTTTCAACTTCAAAACTTGACTGAAAACCCAAAATCTCATGTGTCTTTAATGAAAGGTTTGCTATTACAAACCTGAAAAGGGCATGTTACTGTGTTTTCATTTGGCAAGGAAATAACTTTTAGTGCACAGTGTGCATAAATACCAGCTTTTAATAAGCAGACAAGCACATATGAACAAATTCAGGACAGATTAAACCTCTAGGAAATGTTACAATGGCGTTATAAATTCCAAATATTACCTTGTTAAATTTATACTGGCACCATTTTTACAGGGAGAAATGTGTATATATTTTAGATATACCCAATTGCCATATGGGGTTTTTTCATGTATTATAACTCTTGTGAATATACACGAATTCACTATTTAATAATTACATGGCAAAGCAGGAATCGAAAAGTTTTAACTAAAGTTACTGACATTTTTTTTATTTTCTTATGCTTAATTATTTTACTCATAATATTTTCAAATTGACTAGGCTTCATTGTGAAATCTATCTCTGTATGGCTGCAGGGTTTTGGTAGTAGATGTTGTTTATGCCATTTATTGTAAAAATTCCGTCACAGTTCCTATGGTTGCTTTTTCATTGCTTTCATGGCTTTATTTTGGTGATTTCGAAAAGTGTATTGGTTTAGCCATGTTTGTTTGTTGTAGTACAGAGTTAGACTGATGGCCTTAATCTAAGCTGTCTTGTGGTTGTTGTTGTTTGACTTGCATCCCACTGAGATTTTTGCACACAGCGTTGGTGTACGGTGTTTTTTCTGCAATATTTTTGCTGTTTTTTCTTGAATTTTCTGTTTGCACTTAGTCACATATTCACTTTAAGATGTTTTTTGTTCATGTTTTTGTTTTTTGTTTGTTGCGGTTGCACCCGATTCAAGAGCTGAATGGCTCACAGGGCTACACCTAATAAATGAACTTGAACTTGATGTACGTTGAACTTCTTTCTTACCATATGTAGCCAAATAAGCTAAATGCAGGTGCAATTATCATAAAATATAATTTATAATTGCGTTGATATTAGAGGTTTTCGTATTGAAAATCATATTAGTATTAGGTGTGAATGCTTAAAATATCCAATTCCCCAAATGTTTACACTTTGACTTAAAGCTTTAGTGACTGCAGTAATTCATATTCTTTTGGTCTTTCGGTAAAGTCACGTAGGAAAGAGGAAAGAGGTCTTTCCTCCTGATGACGATCGCTTGTGTTGTGATCGAAACGTCGTAGTTTTTTGTTATTTTCTTTGAACCGTCTACGTGACTACTGAAAGACCCAAAGACTATGTTTAGACTTTGTTTAATACATTATTTAATATATTATGCATGTTAAAATATACAATATTCCTCCATCTCCTGCTGAAGAATAGTTTGGCACATATGGCAGCACTCCAGTGTGAATGCGATAAGAAAGCCAGAGGTTTGTTTGCCAGAATCCATCCCTGTGTGTCCACTGAGGACTCGAGTGTGAATATTTCGGCAATGATTTCGGAGTACAAAGTCATCTCCTGAGGAAGAGTAGCAGCATAAATGTTTAACTCATTAAATGTTTCCTTATTTTTTACCCTTACAGTCAAAAACCCCGTATCCATCATTCGAGACACGATCATGGTTTTGTGACATTTTCTCTCTTATGCAGTCATAGTGAATGACCGGCAGGTATTATAAGTGGTCAGTCTCAGTATAAGTATTATATTAAGGACATATAACAATAGTAAGTCCCACTCATTATTCACCTGGACATTTTCATGTATGTATTTTTATTATTATTATTTTAGGTTGAGTTAACCAATGAGGAAATAAAGCCTGGTTCACCCACCACTTGCCACCGGTTAGATTTGTCCAGATATGAAAGCTGGGTCATCACGTTCATAGTTAAAGAGTGCTACCACTTCACCACTGTGGCTATATCTACACGCAATGGCAACAAACAAATTCAATTTCTCCCATTTACTTTAATAGACTGTTGAGTAAGTGATGTTAACAATATCCTATTAAAGCCGGAATTGCACACGAGGAAGTAATGTGGCCAGCACCACCCCGAGCTACCTTTGTCTCCCCAGAAATAATGTGTGCTGCACGAAGCACCCCCTTCTTTCGATGTTAAATTGGCATCGGGGAGGTCCAGGAAATATTCAGGTACTAATTGCCATTGGGTATGCATGGCTAAGAATACATCTCATGTTACTGGGACCTTCCCAATAATTGCACACACATGCTGTAAAATGCAGACTTTGTATGCAAACTTTGCTATGTTAATGCAGTGACTATCTCCAAATGTGCATTTTCATAATGTTCACCCCCATGACATCACAGCTGGAGTTTATAAAGTTCACGTAAACTTTACTACCCGTCGAGTAATTTTATTGACTGCAAGATGAACTATGCCCGCAGGATGCTTAACTCAGCGGTGGAGTTCAGAAGACACCATGCTGCCAAACACACCAAGCATGAGCAGCCTTTCAAACTTCTTTGCCTGCTTCCTTGCGGACATTATGATTCTGTGATTGTCTTTTAAATAAAGCAGAACGTTCATAATAACGTTTTTTTCTGGGTTAGATCGCGTAAGTATAAATGCGTCATTAACCTGCCACTTCCCGAAGCAGCTAATTATTAAGGTTTGTTACGTAACCAAACGTGCCAATTAGTTGGCGCACTGCTGGTTTTTTCCAATTTTGGCAAAATCGCCCGATGATGCTGGATTTAATTACCAGTAAAATGTCGTACTCAAATTGTAAATGTTGGAGAATTACTCTCCAACACACCGGTGGGCTGAAGTAGTAACTAACTGCCACGTTTTGTTTACGTGACAACCTTACTAATTGGCTGTATCGGGTGGTGGCGTGTTAACGACACATTTATACTTACGCAATCTAACTAAAGAACCCTTATTATGAATAATATTGGTCGCGAAAGCTTACTTCGTCTCAAAGCAGCATGTGGCTGTAAGCCAATTGATACCCTCACTGAACTGCTGCCTTCAACAACAACTAATTATTCGTAGCGCCTACATTGGGGAGCACTTGAAATTAACACCATCTTGCACCGCTGATGGTTTTGCTGCCATAATGTGCAACTAAATACCATTAGGTGCACAAATCCCGCATCGCACCACTACCACTCTAGCAGCCTGGAATGTGTTACGTGCATATTTATTTATCCTTCATGTATTTGTTTAGAAATACCGTGTCGAGTTAGGTCTTTGTCCATATGATTTAAATTGTATTGTGTTGTGCGCTGTGCACACATTGCCTCAGTGTTAATCGATGCAGTGATCAAGTGTCATTGTTATTAATGAGCAAAGTGATAAAGGCATTGAACTAACACAGATGCATTTTGCGTGCTGCCAGCTTGAATATTCCTCCTGCGGTGAATATTTTATGGAGCACACATACAAGATGATAGCGTCTGTGTCAGTTGAATTTTTAGATCTTTCGATAAATGTGCAACAACAAAAGCACCACGTTGTTCTCATAGAAAAATAAATGTTATCCTTCCTTGAATAAACATAGCATAAATTTCGATTTAAAGCTTTCGTGACTGCAGGGATTCATCTTCTTGGTTCTTTCGGTAAAGTCACGTAGAAGGGAAGTAATAAAATAATAAAAATAAACCAATAAAATTATTCTCACGACGTTTCGGCCACAACGCAAGTAGCCGTCAGGTGGAGAACAGGTCTGTCGAGGAGACAGAGGGAGGGGATAGGGGTAGCATTAATAATGCTACCCCTATCCCCTCCCGTTGATGCTGCTAATCCTGCATAATGCACGGGCATAATGACTTTAAACCCCTCGCCAATCCTCCTACGCATTTCACAAGTAGTACTAATCACATATCTGCATTTCCCATAAATATGCTAAATTCCTCTTGATATGCAAATTCTTTTGTCAAGGCGCTCTTCGCCCCTCCATCCCAGCTTAAATAGTCGCTCCAAGCCTGGGGCTTGTGATTCAGACTATGTCTCCTCGACAGACCTGTTCTCCACCTGAGGACAGCTACTTGCGTTGTGGCCGAAACGTCGTGAGAATTATTTTATAATGTTTTATTTTTATTATTTTATTATTTCCATTCTACGTGACTTTACAGAAAGAACCAAGAAGAAGAAACATAGCATACTTGCCGATTTTTTTGTTTGGTATAAGTATACACACGGGTACTTGCAAGTTCAGTGTGGTTTTGCAAGACGATGATAAATAATGCAAGTACATCGTTACGTATTTTTGTTGGAGAATAATGTATTATAATTGTCAATGTTGTTTTGATTGCAGAGGTGGAAAAAAGCCAAAAGGGAAGAAACTCTTCTGGAGAGAATGGATGGAAATTTATAGACGTCGTGAGCAACAGAAACGTGAAGCTAATCGAACGGGTAATCATCCCCGTAAGACAACATCCAAAGGTAAATTGTTCACAATCACTGCATTTTAGCTGTGCCATTGATTGCCATACTATTTTATCACAAAGTCAAATGGTGTAATTTTTTTTCTTTCATCATAACGACTGCAAATGATACATTGTAATCATAAAAAACCACGCTGCATTATTCAAACATTTATTTTGAAATAATGCATTGTTCCCCTTGCAGTTTAATTTTATTGGCAAGCTGTTGGGCCCAAGAGGGAATTCTCTAAAGAGGCTAAAGGAAGAAACTGGGACAAAACTCTCAATCCTTGGTAAAGGCTCCATGCGAGACAGAGACAAGGTGGGTAACATGGCTTTTTGGTTGTAAGTAACCTGACACACTTCACTATAAATGTACCAATAATTTTCGATTTAAAGCTTTCGTGACTGCAGGGATTCATCTTCTTGGTTCTTTCGGTAAAGTCACGTAGAAGGGAAGTAATAAAATAATAAAAATAAAACATAATAAAACAATTCTCACGACGTTTCGGCCACAACGCAAGCAGCCGTCCTCTTCACCTGAGGACGGCTGCTTGCGTTGTTGTTTTATTATGTTTTATTTTTATTATTTTATTACTTCCCTTCTACGTGACTTTACCGAAAGAACCAAGAAGATGTACCAATAATGTTTACATTTCAAGCACACCTAAACTTGTGGTGTATGTGTGTGTCTGCATTCAAGCGTTTTTGAGATGGGGGTCGTTGGTTGATCATGAAAACGTAACAATTTGCATGAGACACTCACCAATAGAGCCATGAGGTGGCCAGTAAATTATATTGCAGAACATAGCTTGCTCATCACTACATCTTTGAGGGTCATCATCTCGTGGGTGGAATTCTTGCTGGGCATTAGGGTTGTGAAAAAGTGAAAACACTCGATAATGAAATCACCACACATCTTTTAGCCAAAGTCTCTGAAAATAGTCTCAAGACTGAATGCACAGGACTTTGGGTGGAAATTCAAAGACGTCTTGAACAACAGAAACGTAAAGCTATTCAAATAGGTAATCATCCCCATAACACAACATCCAAAGGAAAATTATTCACAATTACTGCAGTTGAATCTTGATTGTCAGTAAGACTTTCCTGGATAAATGAGTTTGAATACAAGAAAACAGTCTCAATCGTAAATGTAAATGCAAAAAGTATTGACATTCTAATGTCAGTCAAATTTTGAACTATATTCCTTACTTAACAATTACAAAATTAAAGTGCACTTATATTCGAGTTAACTACAATATATTCCAAAATCATGTTAAATATACAATAGATAAGATCAAGTTGCAAATAAATACTGACCAAACAAACATGGAATTCCTGGATAAATTTCTATATTACTTGAATAAAGTCTAAATAGAGTTTAGTCATGTAGTATATTGTTATTATATGAATGTTGGACTTCGTTTGCACCCTACGTTACCAACCATGCTAATCGGAGGTACGGGGGATGGACAACAAACCAAACATAAAAAGCAGTTAAAAAATGAGTTTTCAATTTAGATTTAAAAGTGCATAGCTCCAGTGGCTTCCTAACATCGGAAGGACAGCTGCAGAAGAGCATCTGAAAGCAGTGACCATATTTGTTCGATGGCTAGCCTAAAGCTTCTGCGAGAATGACCGGAGAGATAAGCAAGATAGTATGGTTCATTTGTGGCAAGAACTTTGTGTAATGAGTGTAACCTTATAATGTATTCGTTCGGGAACTGGAAGGCAATGCAGCTCGGCGAACACTCGGCGGACTTGGTCGGATCTTGTACTCCACACACTTAATATATATTTGGCCACAACAGATGCAAGTCTATTAAAAGGCATTGCATACCTTATAAATAAGATAACGTCAAGCGTTCAATTAGTTTATATGACTCTATAGTTGGTACAAATTAACACATCATCTCTTCAGGGTTTGTAAAATAGGTATCACCGAATCAGCCTTCACCACTCGGTGGGCAGTCATGAGTGGTTGTTCAGAGGGAAGTATTAGTTTTAGTATAGGAATGCGGGATTTCTTTCACAGACTTAAGTCCAACAACAGAGCTGAGCGATGTGGAAATCTCCGATTAGCATGGTTGGCGCCTCCAATTAGAACGGTTGGCTATGTACAGTGCAAAAGAAGTTCAACATACATGCATACATGCAAATCGTTGTATGGCTGATGTTGATGTAAAGCAATGTTTTACATGTGTCAGGAGTAGCAGAGTGCATTACTGTGATGGCCTCTTCGTAATGTTCACATATGTTCCATGACCTGTTCTAGTTGACCACAGTCACACTGTGGGAGAGTTTTTATTTTCCATTTGTGCATCAAGTTATCCACATCTGCCATGGTTTGTGCACTGGATGGGTTTAGCGTTGCCAGCCTTTAGCTTCATGGAAGATCGAAGCTGGAGATCTTCTGCATCAAGTCTCTTATGAGGTGTTTGTTAGTTAGTTTTTGTGAACTCCAATTGGCCTTCCAAGCATTATCGACTTTAAAGTTCCATTGTTATAGGTTAAGCTCATGGCTCCAAAAGGAATGGGTGTTAGACAATAGAATAGCAGCGATGTTTTGGTTGAAATCATTATTTTGGGTAGATGACTTACTCCTTCATTCTTATATATCTTACATAATACAACGACCATTTGATAGGATTTCAGAAAGTGATTGCTATGGAGAGAATGGAGACTATTACGGGACAGCAGAATTCACACTATTGGTACTGGATTGTCAACAGACGTGAGCACTGCACGACACTTGTATCAGCATGGATACACTTTCAACTTGACCTTATTGATGATTAAAAATATATACGACGTAATAATTATTATTTGGTTCTTTCGGTTAAATCACGTCTAAAGAAATCCGTCACTGCATTACAAATACGTAAAAGTAAAATATATGTTTCCACATTTCATGCTTCATGTATGAACAACTCTTGGGAGGTATCATATGCACACACTTCTTATGCCCTATTGAAGGACAATATTTCCACTACTGGTGGATAGGGCACTGGCAACATCATCAATTCTGACCCTAGTGACCCATATATGTACCTCTATTTCTGGGATAGGAGAGGGCACTCTGCTGGACTGATGAATGAACAGCCACTCTGACACCATCACCCCAGGATTTTCACTGCTGTGAGATTGAATAAAATGAAAGCATAGATTTTTGAGCAACCAGTGGTGACCCTGGCTGGGTGCTGTATCAAAACCGAGCACATGTGGAACCCCCTCTGGACACGAACACAGGCAAACTTCGCTTCCAAGAAACCACGGAAAGCTTTACTTCACAAGTGTTCCTCAGTTTACTTTGATAAAAATTGTGTTTGGAGTTGAAAATATCGGGAGAATATGAAGCTGCAACTTATGTGAGTGCCACTGTATTAAAATACTTTTAAAAAATACCGAAGGAGAGATGTTCATGAAAACAAATCTCCACATGGGGATACTGAATATAATTTAATAAAACGGTGTTAAAATGTAGTTCGAGCTATTTAACCTTCATTATTAAACAATTTTAATAACAATACATGTGTAGTGAGTTCAACTGAGTCGCAGACTTACTTTTTGGAGGAAACACATTTATTAACACCAACACAAAGGGATAACTGCCCCTTAACCAGATAACAACCTATGGTGGTGGACCACCAGGCTACAGCTCGGGTCCAGGTCCACGTGTTGGAGAGTCTGTAGGACATAGAACGTAGATTTCTTCAGGATGAACAACAGCAGCCGGTCCCTCTCTGGGACCCGTCTTACATCCTCTGTGGCGTGGCTGGCTCCGCCCTTAGCCACGACCACCTTCTAGAATCCTCCGGCAGAAACCCAACCCTGACACAACCCCTAGCCCACACCTGGGGCCCTGTGTACACTTTATCGGTCACGAAGTCCTTCGGGGTCAACTAGAGTGCCATGGCCCATAGTAACCCCATTCCCATGGCCGGCCCTCTCACACCCTATCCTGTAGGGGTCGGCACTGCACGCAGAGCGTGGTGCCATCCAGCACTGCCAGGCAGCGCTCACCGAGCCCCTCTAGGACCGGTACTGCACCCACATATACGTGGTGCCCGCGATGTCAATACATCCCACGCCGTGCCTCTCTATGGCCGGCACTTACACAGTGACATCCGTGATGTCACTACACATGTATTCTCAGTTAGTATACTCGGGAGTCATGGGCCAGCCACCACGAGTTGCCCCAAAATAAACCATGGAATATTAAATGATTTTGTGAAAACACCAATAATCAAATAACATCACTGAGCAAAATCGTCAATAATTCTTAAGAATATGAGGAGAAACGCCTCAAGCGGTTTTACATGGCTGCCATGTTACTTAGTTTGCCCTGAGGCTTAAGCTGAGGCTCATACAGAGTATCACGGCATGGTTACAATAGTACCCTAGGAAACCCAGCCACTTCATTAAGGGTTTATTTTCAATAGCGATTTACATTTCTTCTCTAATTTTTCTCCCATTTTTTTACGCGCTCACTAAACTGTGTGCAAAATGTTTTCAATTAAAATTATTGTTTGCAACACCAACCTAATTTTTGCTTGTGCTTTATGCAGTGAAAAAGCTAACACGGAACGTGGTTTTGCTTAATTTGATAATTAATTTATGCATTTAAATATTGCACCCTGTAGGAGGAAGATCTGCGAAAAAGTGGCGAAGCCAAGTATGTGCATTTGAATGAGGATCTGCACGTACTAATTGAGGTGTTTGCACCACCGTCACAAGCCTACAGACGAATGGGTCACGCTCTCGATGAAGTTAAAAAATATCTTGTTCCCGTAAGTGTCACACACAACACAGTGTTGGCTCCATTTTTAAGTGAGAATATTTTAACGTCTTGTGAAAACATGAGATAATGCAATTTACAAAAAGAGTGCCAAAATAAATTTGACACAAAGTTATTTATTCAGGAATTCTGGATTTCAATTTAGAAGCGAAGAATAACCCTAAAATGTTTGTTTTTAAAATGGATATTATTATTTTTCAAGAAATGAAATAACGTTGTGTGTGAAATTGAGATGGCTGGGTTGTCCGATGAGGGCTGATACTTTATGTGAGTACTGAGCCGGCACAGCTGAGATATGTGGTTCGAGTGTGGGCAGCCACCTATGATTAATCCAGGTTTTCAAGTATACAATGTGTCGCATATAAATGCACAAAGAAGCCATCAAATTAAAGTGAGTTTGAATTTACTTAGTTTTTTTTTCCAGCCCTGATGACTAAAACGATTTTCGGTTTGATTGTTATGAACAAAACAGTAACAATGTCCGTCGTGTAGATAAGTGGCGATTCAATACGATGTCAGGCAGCAGTATTGTAGCTTTTCCTTATAAAAGCCATTTCGTAACATAGTTAACACGTTTTTTTTTGCATAAGCAGAATTAATTAATACAAATCTCAACATATTTGTAAATATAACTGACCTAAATAAAGAGAGATCTGTCTGCTATGCAGATGGGCCATTGCCTATAATGTCGCCTATTATATGTTGTTGTTGACGAATATGTTTTTGATCCTCTGTAACATGGAGTGGTGCACTGGCTTTGAATATGATAATTTTTTGTCTCGTGACTCTGATAACACAATTGGAATATAATTGCATGGAAATAAAACGTGATTAAATTATATTTTGTGTGCAAGATACGGCCATTAATATCGCACTCCTCAAACACGCTGGTTTGCTGTGATAATTTCATTGAAATTATAGATCAAAGGGAATATTACATTTTTATATACAAAATAAGGAATTTATAATTGTTTTTTTTACCCTTTTATCTGGCAACAAAACTGACACTTTTTTTTTACAAGGAGTGATGTTTGCATAGACCTTCATTAGCTGCAGTCATAATGCAAATAAAAAACATAACTCTGATAATGTATGCACTGTCCTTGAAGTTGATTGGTCCACACCCGAGACAGCTTTCCTTAGAGCCTAGTCTCACATGGTGTTGGACCAGATGACACCGAAAGGCGCACGAGAAGCAGGGAGATGTGTGGGAGACTCGGGCTGTTGCAGTGGGATCTCCACCTGATGTTAAGTGAACATGTCTTCAATAAAGTGCCATCTCAAGAGAAATGTGTCAAGTCGTATTTACAACTGGTGTCAGAAGTGGGGTGTCATCATGCCGCGGCATGGTCGCAAGGAGAACTCACTGACGATGACTTCGGACGGGGAGGAGACCCCTGCAACAAGCACTGGGTGGCGGGGACCCGGTGAACAACCCTCCCGGTGAAGAGGGACGGGCGGTGGTAATGAGGAGAGAGGGGGCCGGCCGACAGCTTACCATGCAGCTTGTCGCGGCTGCGGCAAGAGGAGTGGAGGAGAGCATGGTGGGAGTCCCCACGGTTGAAACCACTCAACCGATGGCCGCCATTTCGCGAGTTGGCAAAATGTCGGCCGAGGCGGCTGCAGCTCTGGCGGCACGGGAAAGAGCGACTGACCAGCTGTGGCGGATGACGCCCGTAAAATAATTTGTAGCAGCGGAAGGTGACTGGGGCACCTTCACCAGAAGGTTTGAGGCAGCGTATCAAGCCAACGGATGGTCGGAAGAGGAAGCACTGAGAGCCCTGCCTACCGCCATTGACGACGACACCCTTGCAGTGTTCCGAGCTGTGCCGGAGGACCTGAAGGGCTATGCTACAAAAGGCGTATGGTGAAATGGCAGCCATGTTCGATCCCCGATTAAATACACGGAGTTAGTGCAGAAAAAGCGGTGGGAGGCATGAGGGGATGAACCGGTGGCCTTATGTGGTGGCATGGTCGAGTTATCTGATGTCGGCTAAGGCCTCGACAGTCTGGTCAGCAAGGAGTGCGGGGTCGCCAATGGAGGAGGGTTTGGAGTTGGGGGAGGAGGTGACGGCGGAGGTACACGGGTGGGTTCGACGCCAGGGGGAGACTTTGCTATGGCCTCAAGGTTGGGGACCAAGGGGGGAGGTGACTGCTCCACAGCGAGGGCCTGCCATCGCCTGCTTCAGGTGCGGTCGGCTGGGGCACATCACGCCGGGATGTCAGAGCGACGCCTGGATAGCGGCGTCGTCAGCATCTGTCTTCCCACCGGCGACCACTCCATAACGGCGGAAGACAAGTCGCGACACGACAGACACCTGGCCCGAAACGTCACCTCACACATCTAGGCAGGTGTGTCCCCCCAGGCCCCATTATCACCTTGCATCCTTCGTCGGTTGTTTCGGTTGTGTCGGTCATGTCGGTTGTATCGGTCACGGGTGAGTGACGGGTTTCGAAGGATTGGGGAAATTGCGGTGACAGGTCCTGTTGTGATTTCATAAATGCGGGGTATCCCATGCTTGTGGGACACCAGCTTTTTCAATTGAATGCCCTCGGAAATTGACGGATCAGATGTGTAAAGAGATGTTGTCGGGGCAGCGGTTATTTTTTTGGGATCCTATTGGAAGGGAGGCGGGTGCTACGTGGCGATTCAGGCCTTGTTGAGGGGATCGGTAGAGATCCCTCTGGGCAAACAGATGTTGGTTCCCTAGCGGTATCGCAGGCAGTTGCATTCGGCCGACCCAGATACGGCGGTTCTCCTGACGCCAACAGTGTGGCCCGTGAGCTTACGCTGGCTAAGAGCCATTCCTGCAAGTGTTGAATGTGGGTGGAAGGACAGCTGTGGTCCCAGCGGCTTACCGTATTGGCCTACGTGAGCCCGCATGTTGCGAGGCGGTGGCGATAGATATCATGGAAGCGATGGGGGACAGAGCCGGGTCAGATGAAACGTGGGCGGAAGCCCTTGTAGCGACAATCATGATTTGCCTAAGGCACAACGTGGCGAATTGAAGTAATTGTTGCTGCAATTTCAGATGTTTTCAGTAAGAGCAAGTGCGACATCGGTCATACTTCTCTATTGCTGCACCATATTGATACGGGAGACACAGCCCTGTTCGCCAGAACTCTGGTGGAGAAGGAACATGCGAACAGGTGGTGGCTGGTGCATGCCTAGTAAGCGTGTGGACAATTTGATGGGTGCGTTGTTGAGTGCTAGTTTATATTTGTTTCCTTCTCTGATGTGCGAGCGGGAACACGGGCCCCCCCATACTGTTTAACTGGGTGCGGCTTTGAGGAAATAAATGCGGGACATAACCGTGCCATGGCAGATTGCGTCCGGGCGAGTGTCGGTGACAGAGCATAGCTGCGTATGTACCGCTGCAGATATCACCTAAGTAGCACAACCATAGTGGGGACCGATCGAGATTGTGGAAGTGAATCGGTTTTGGTGCATGCGAGTATAGGTGGGGCGTCACCATTGGTTTGTCCACCAGACATCTCATATCCATGTCCAGAGCGGCCAATGTCTGGTGGGTCCGACATGCCAGGGTAGTCGTCCGGGATGGTTGTGCAACCCGGGAGATGTGTTGTGCCGCCCACAGAATGTGACCCTCTGATTCTCAGAGGTCCACAGGACTCCGCCACGTGCGATGGACTGGCGTCAGGGGCCCGGTCAAGAGCTTAGCGGCTGCGATTGCGTCTCTCCAAACCATGAGGTGGACTGTCAACTCTCAAGGCCAACTGTTTTTCGTGTGTGTACCCCAGTGCGGTTGCTGTTGTTCGCGTGGGGCGACTTGCACCACTCAGTCATCATGTTGTGTTGTTGTTGGTTTCTGTGGTCGAGTGACGGGTTATTTTCCATGCAGCTGTGGGTTGCCATTCTGCCCTAATTGTTGCATTTTTGTCTTTTTTTTAAGTCTTGGTATTAACCGGGATGGCTATACTTTTTAAGAATGGGGGGTGATGTAATGACAATAGAACTTGCATGCTGTGTGAGGGGACTAGTGGCCATGGGAGGTAATGATAGGGAAGTCAGCCTACAGTACGAATGCACTAGTGGCCACGGGAGGTAATAACAGGGGTATCAGTTGTGAATGCGAAGGGACTGGTGGCTACGGGAATATTCGAGAAGGGAGCGTGGTCAGGTGACGGAAGAGGACGGTTGAGTCTGCCGGTAGAGCGAGCGTCCAGAGTCAGCGAGAATCATCGAGAAGGGGGGCGTGGACTCGGTTGGAATATAAGGGAGATGCGCGGGACACTCGGGGCTATTGCAGTGGTATCTCCGACTGATGTCAAGTGAATGTGTCTTCAATAAAGTGCCATCTCAAAAGAAGCGTGTCAAGTCAATACACACGCATACCACTGCAGGCACTCACAGCACCCACTCCTCCGCCCCCCACCTGTGCCTTGGCCGTGCCCACGCTGCCCGCTCACCCGCCACTCAAGGCGGAGTGGCATTAATCCCCTTGCAGTGGGACCAGGCCGTAATAAGCCGCAAACCCGTCACTGACAAGTAGAAAAGTGGTGTGAAGTGCACGAAAATTTCAAGCCAGGTGTCAACTGTTTGACAGCTGTGAAATTTAACAGATGGAAGGTGGCTGTGCTGAAGGGTGATGGCATCACTGCCATCAGCCTTGATTACGTTGTGATGTATCTGGTAAATGAGGCAAGGTTGGTACATCGCATAGAGATGATCCCTGCATCACACACATACAGTGGCACACTCATAGCAAAGACCGTGTGTTTTCTGACAAACTTGCGAAGGTTTCAGTGTTGTCCACCTTATGCGTAGGATTTATTTTGGGTGCTCCAAATTCCCAAAAGAACAAAATGATTAACGACCAAGGTGTTGCCTAAACATCACAAAAAGATCAGCTGTGCTACTCGGTGATATATTCCACATTAATAAATAATTATATATATATTTTAAGTGCGTGCAGACCGCAAAACAAGAGTGAGGTTAACAAGTCAGGCTGATGACTGATGCTGCACATCATGTTAAAGACTGACATGCCTGAAGGCTGTCTTGAGATTCAGCCTGCTCGGCTTTGCGCAGTCTGTAATCGCTCATCAATGCTGCTGCACTGCACATTTGAAAGTTAAAAGCAACAATGGACCACATTCCACTATCGAACATTATTTTGAAATGAATAACAACTTAATAAACTACGTGAAATTATGAAAACATAAAGTAACAAAACTTGATATAATTGTGTATATGCAGTTTTGAAAAAAAAATAACTAATGGCTGTACAGTATAGCTAACCAGGCAGCATTTCTCTTTCTCAGCATAAATTTTATTCCCTGATAATGTATTTTTCCCACTCTAAGGAAATGGCTGACACTGCAAAAACAAAGTGTTGTGTGTAGTATATATGTTTTAAATTAGAGCACTGAACTACGAAATTATTTCGTGTAAATATAAAGTGGCCACATTCTAATTTAGTTACTTGATTAAATGGATGCCAACATTACCTGTATATTAAATCGTTATACAATCGTACCATTTTTATAAACAATAGCCTGCTCGATTTTAGAATTTATTTCCCTCATCTTTTTTCCAAAGCTCGTATAGCCTTGCTCAATGCAATGCATTTATTCCTTGACCCATTACAGCTTCAATCGTGTTTTTTACTGATTGCTGTGATAATTATATATATATCAATACATAATAATATATCAATAATACATATATAATGCTAATACACATATAACTATTGGCCGATGTATTAAATATTTAAATATATATTTCAATGATCTATATAAATACAGTAAAAAATATACAATGCTGTCTTCGTGGCCTCTACAGGACTACAATGACGAGATCAGACAGCAACAGCTCCGTGAACTCAGCTTCCTCAAAGGAGAGGACGATGCTGAGGTCGGGCTTGGGGTCCACGGCAGAAGCGGCCACGCCAGGGGCCATCCTGCTCCAGTGCCTCTGCCCTCCATCCGTCCGCTCCCATCGCTGCAGCATGCCCTTGCCAGGTACCGACCGTGCACGGACAATTGAGCTTCCACGGTTGACATCACAGATGCTAGGGCAGTGCTGCCCGAAATCCCAGGCTTCACTTACCTCCTTTCCACTGGCTTTTCCCACTTACCTTCTTCCGTTTCTCTCCAGCAGCAAGTGTGTGTCATGCCCATTTTTTTTCTCTCGTATCAATGGTGTGTGAATGGAGACAACTGGGACACATTGAATCCTTAGGCGGTGTCGTCAAACAAAGCATACACTTATTAATACTCTTCATACTGCCGTTACATTGCATATATAAATGTATATGTGCATATGTATGTTTCATTTGCAGGTAAGTTATTAGTCAATGATATACAATACAATTAACACTCTTGATGGTGTGAAATTGGAAATACAGTAGTAAAACTGCTTTAACCTAAGGAGACTATGCCGCTATGCATTCAATTAATGCAGCTGTGCATTCAGACAACCGGAGGGGAGAAGCCATTGTCTCTTTGGCAAAGGAAGACCTGGAAACAGGTGGGACCTTTTAGCTGAGGCGAGGTCATTCTTAGCAGTGTCTGTGGGACGGGATTCTTTTGTAATTGATGACATTCGTCTCAACCCCGTGGAAAGACGGTGACCTGCGACCTAGCGAGATTGGCTGTCCGTTTTACATGCCATTGCATAGAATGCTGAGATATAGGAGCACAATAGATAGGCCCTTAGAGAATTGCACACTGATGCATGAAAGTGATAACCACAATTGCACACATGTGCTCACTGTGAATGTCATTGCATAGGAAGGTAATGCCTACCAAACACATTTACTGTGCAATTAGCTATGCCGGTAATGCTAGGATATAGTTCATTAGTTAATTGATTAATTTCGATTTGCCTACTGTTTGATTTCACCCAATGCATCTGTGTCACCTTGTTACTGCACGTGTATGCCATGCAGCATTGTGACAAAATAACAATTGCTACACGTCGACATTGTTAAATTGAGTACGTTGACTGCGCCACCCACCAGATCTAAAATCACTGCCGTCACTGCCATTAATATTTTACATAAATCAAAATGGGGTGCGGTTGAGGCACGCTCTCAATCCGGTGTCCTGGAGGTAGTTGTTAGTGGATCACGTAACGATTGAATCCATGGTCTCATGCCAAGATGAAGTGGTGCCATTATGTGTGCAACGCATTCACATGCTGGGCAATAACAAACCTACCAGGGAAGGACAGCGAGTATGTTTCTGTGCAGCTTCATTGTTTTTTCTCTTGTAGGTGTGGACTTTGTCTAGGAATTTGTGGTTTCTCTTACACACGCACACATATTTTTTAAGAAATTGGACTTCCTTGCCAAGCAAGAGGCTCGTAATACGCGTTAGGAGATTCAGCGAGGCTCTTCAAATTGGAAATTTCAAATTGTTACTTACATTATGGTATTTTTAGGTTTTCTGACAGGACACGTGGATGTAAACAGCCAGACTCGATGGAGGGCTTTATTTGAGAATTGGTGAAGAATGAAAAATGTTACCAAGTCAGAGATCTTACGGCACAAGTAATTTGACCAGGATATTATGAGAATGAATCTTTGCTTCGCTTATCAAAATGCACCACGGGTTCGTGAATGCCCACAGGTTGAGCAGGACTTAAATTTTATATTCTGAAAATTGCCACCTCAATAGAGCACGATACCATCCGGGCACCATACTGGAACGTGAGTTGATCGCTAGCTCAAAGGGACTACATTCCCTACTGAACGGTCTGTGTCCAATATCACTGCCTTTTACCCGGTAACTACCCATCCAAGTGTTAACCAGGCCCGAGTCTGCTTAGCCACTGCGGAAGCGACGCTGCAGGTCGATGCGGCAATACTGCATTTCATTTCACGTTGCATGTAGCCCAGTCTTAATGGTAGTTGCCGGGAAGGCTGCCCTTTTTGAGACGAGTCCTCCACCTTGCAGACGCTGAAGGTGAGGAAGTCCTGTTTGCTGGGCTTGATCTTGGTTCGTACTGCACGGTGGGCTTAGGCTGCACATCGGGCTCCCATTTCCAATTTTTGCACTTTGGCTGATGCTCACACGGTGGGCAGTGCTGTAGTGCATCCACGTTGTGAAAGGTCACCTTCCACAAATGCACAGGGGGGATTATGAGAAGCAAATATTTTCACCGTCCACCAACGCCAGTCTAGTTTTGCTTATTCGTGGTCTGTGCTTGTATTATTACACGTGCTCCAAATCGAATTGCCAATGCGCTACATAATTGGCAATATGCATTTCGTTTTCTCTCCATCGATTAATTGTTCATATATGTGGATATATATACATATTTACATATACAAAAATAACATTGAGTCAATATATAATGGGAAGAGTTCAACTTACAAGTTTAAAATGAAATAATTCTAAAGCCCATGATCCATTTGAACTTCGCTAAATCAGTGTTCCCAGGTAAGAGTGCGGTGTCAGGTTAAGGAGTTTTAACTACAACATTCAACTCATTTGAAATGTAAAAAAACGGAAAGGCTAGTGGACGTAAAACTTTCACATCAACAGTCAGAATTTTTTTTTTCATAAAAATGTAAATTATTTTGGGTTATGTATAATATCCATGCAGGGGAAATACTCTATAGTTTATTCTACTCAGAATCAGTATCGCGATATTTAAATGTGAACATACATAAATGTGGGTAATGCAGTCACTAACCCCAATGTACAGTAGATTTTCATTTATGTATTTGACAAAGTGGTCGATTCATATGATTTCAGATCTGTTTCTGGTTGAATCTTATTTTCGAATACCTAAAGCAGGAAGCCTGCCTCTTTTTGCCATGTTACGTAATTGTATTTACACAAATATGTTTCCTTATGAATATCCACGTCGCCAACTTTTCATTTCTTCAAATACTTAATCCTGCTCTTTCAGGCCAGTAATTAGGTGAACATACATGGGGATAAACTCACACGTTACCCCCGGAATAAGAAATTGGTCTGTGTATTTCACTGGCGCCTATTTCACTTGCTGAATTTACAGAGGTAGTGTTACAATTTGAATGCAATTGGGCTTTTGTGGAAAGCATTTAAAGCCAACTGCAACTCTGACACTTACAGCAAGGACGAATGTGTTCAGAAACGTGTTGAAGCGTCTCGCGGTGAAGGGCAGGGGGCTGGGATATAGAGCAGGATTTTATCGGCAAGATTACATACTGCAGGGACACAGACGTAACATTCATAGTCGGTTAAGTTCTGCCCTAGCAAGGTAATAATACCAAGTCTTGCCACACTGGCTTCTACGACAGTGATCTGCTGTATGACAAGTTATATTTTTCTTCCGTAATAGAGGTTTTTGGCGTTAGATCGTGTACATATAAATGTATCGCTAAACCTACCACCACCCGATACAGCCAATTAGTAAGATTTTTCATGTAAACAAAATATGTTAATTAGTTACTAGTTCAGCACACCAGTCTGTTGGAGAGTAATCCCACTACATTAACTTTTTTTCATTGACATTTTTTAAATATATAATCATCCAGGAGTCTAGGGATAGTAATGTTTTGCTGAGGAAACATAATAAATGCAAGCAGCTTATTAAAAAGTCTTATAGAGTAAGCAAATGAAAAAAGGGTTGCAGCTGTGGCATGGTGGCATGTGCACTGTATTGTAAACAGCCTTGATGGAGGGCTTCATTTGAGAATTTGACGAGTATTAAAAATGTCACCAAGTCCAGCTGTGGTTAACAGCGGTGATGACTGAAACACTCTTGTGCCTCCATATTTACCAGCCCACAACACGGACTCATGTGGGAAAAATGCGGTTACACAATCCCCCTGACCAAATCGGTATGTGAGTGTTTGGAGGCCGTCATTCAGCTTGGACTGACAGAAGGCTGTAAAAAAAAACTTAGAAAATAAACATTAAATAACTCAGACTAATACAATTTGCACATTGATGGATGTCGAACTGTTATTAATAGCATTTGCTGTTGTCCATTTTCATTGGTTTTATCGGCTCCACCATAGTGCGCAAGGGAACACTCATCGCTGCGCAAGTGTTTTTTAGTTCTCCGCGTCTCATTTCTCTGATCGTTTCTTTTCAAAGCAGCCGCGGGCTACATTCAGCGGTTCCCCGGAGAATGGCCGCCCCGCGGGGCCTCGCCCTGGCCCGGGCACTGGCACCCCCTCTCCCTGCCGGCAGGGGAGTCCTGGCACCTCAAAGAATGCGGCCAGTCGCCGCGTATCGAGCGGCGCCGCCGCCTCCGCCGCCACCTCCTCCACTGCCGCTCCCGCTGGCTGAGGAGGCCTACGAGGAGGACTACGTGAGTGCTTACTGATCCTTGGACTCCTTTTGATGCCATTGCTCGTTCATGGCTTCCCGCTACGAAACCTTACACAGTCTGTGTGTTGTTGTTTGCATAACGCGAATTGGATAGAATGCCATGAATTTATTGGGGAACGCATATTTTATACATAACGCGATTGAGTGAATGGAACTACGTCGCTGCGGGTAGGAATAAGCAGTTGTACGGCTGCCTCAGTGTAGCGACACATGAGGCGGGATGCTGTTGGATGCTTATAGATGCTACCCACATGCCTCAGTCTTTGTGCAGCCTGCATACACATCTCACGTGTTATCGCGGACTGTGCTTTACCCATTATTATATATCATAGCGCGATATTTCCATAACACGGATTTTACAGGAATGCAACTACCGCGTTGTAGGAGACAGACAGGATTTATTTCTCCCACTACCAAGAATCATCCCATTTTTTTAGATGATGAGGAGAAAGTGCCAGAGGTTTCATGTGAAACAATAAACACTGCTTAAACTGTGTGACAAAAAGGGAAAGTTCCTGGACCAGGTGACATAACCGTAAATAATCAAAGCAGCAGCATTCGGCAGATGCAACACAATTAGTGTACCTATTTACGAAATGTTTACCTAGAAATGAAATACCCCAATCATTGAACGATGCCTCAATCATCCATAATAGAGATTTTGGGTTAGATCGTGTAAATATATTAATGTGGCGTTAAAACCCGCCACCACCCGACACAGCCAACTCGTAAGGGTTGTCACGTAAACAGAACATACCAATTCGTCACTAGTACAGCACACCGGTGTGTTGGAGAGCCAAGCCACAACATTTACAAACTGAGTACGGCGTTTTGCCAGCAATTACAACTAGCTTCATCAGGCGACAGCAGTCACCTGATTAAGCTAGTTGTAATTACTGTCGCCTGATGAAGCTTGTGCCATCTTGATGGAGTTTACTGGCCACACACTCTCAAGAGTCTGATTATGGCCATGTCTCCAAGTTTGTGCATTACATACGTGCACCATAATCCTCAGGGTGGCACATGAGGCAAAGCCTTGCCATCACATCGGGTGATTGAGGTGAAGTTAGTCGTGAAGTGTGGAAAGACATGAGCCTTCTGGTCAATGCACAGAGTAAAGCACAGCTTGTGCCAGACATTATAAGTTACACATCGAATGGGCAAGTATGCCGCAGGTTTTGATGTTTTCTGTCGTGTTTATTTGCCAGAGTGTACACTACGAAAAATTGAATGTGGCAGAGAAGTGATTTGCTACCTCCTGAATTCACATGCACTGCAAAGTAGAAGGCACAGTGATTAAGACCTTTCACTCTATGATCCTGGTCACCCAGTTTTAGATATTTTGGTGTTTAAATCACCACCGGCAATTGGTGCCTGGTCTAGGCCTTTCCTACATTATTGCAGTCTAAATTAATACCTAGTGCAGCAGTGAGTCAGAGTTAGTACTGGAGGGAGAGAGAGAAAAGGCGGTGTTGTGTGGCGATAGTCACGTTGTTGCAGAGGTTCGAGCCCTGCAGCTGCCCTGGTTATTCTATGGATGTGCTAAACAAAAATCTGTGTAGCCTGCTTCACAGTGGATGTTCAAGATCCCGTGATGTTATTTGAAAAAAAATAGCGTGGGTTTTGTGTGCCAGCGTCACGGTCAAACTTTGGCAAATAAAAAATAATAACTCGTGAATTACTTAATTGGATAAAACCACGTAATAACATCGACCGCCTACTGACAGGCTATACCTATCTGTGCAATATAGCACCTTCATCATAGCCTCTGTGCTGTAATATTGGCACAAGTGTAGTGACATACTCGGAGACGAGCAATCGGGGTTGACACTCTTAATAATTAGTCCGTCTATTGTCGGCGACGCTACTCAGTTGGTAGGCTGCCTGACTGGTGGCACCCCGAGATGGTAAAGATGGAGACGATGACAAGAAGAATGGTGAAGACGATGAGAAGAATGGTGAAGACGACGAACAGATCGGTGACGAAGACTTCAGCAGCATGACGGGGATCCCACTCCAACAACAGCCTCGAGGTCCCCTACAGGGGCCCATCTTATACTGGCAGCGTGGCCTGGCTCCGCCCCCAGCCAAGCCCCCTTTCTGGAACCTACACGCGGTTCTTGGAGTGCCCCTTCTGTGCCTTTCCCCTAGATCCCCCTCTGGTGTATATCCTGGCCTGCTGACGTCAGGGCTGCCGTACGCCGCAGATCCGCTTTCCTGCCAGCAGCCAGCGCTATGCTACTACACTATGCCCCTACACAAGTACAATACGTTAAAAATGTGCTTATTGATATTCCAGCTTAGACAAGGTGCTCGCTAGGGTATCCACTGAACATGTATGACACCGAGTGGAAGTGTGGCAGGGCACCCTTATCACGTTCACAATGCTCAGAGTTCAAATCCCTGTTGAGTTGACTCAGCTCAGCATCCCTGCTGAATCAATAAAATATACACCAATTTTAGGCCAAATCAATACTGTAGTTGGTGTCCTGTGGAACAACTATCTGCTTTAGCAATTTAGAATGTACGCCTCTAATGCTCGTTGAACTAAGAAGACACTGCCAACTTTTGACGGCACACATACACACATGAATGCGTGTGAGTGGGAGTGTTCATGGGTAAATATCCTTCGGCTGCTCATTACCACTTTCATGTACGTAGGCACAAAAAGCGAACCACTATTATGATTTGAAAGGTATTTTTCTAAAGAATCAAGCCGATGGTCTCAACTTAGTCACCGATAACTGCACACAAAAAAGTCAGTTAATTGTATTCACTTGATTTGGTCGATCGCAGCTTGTGGATATGAATTGAATTGAATTAGGACACATGTGGGGAGTCAGCTTTGAAGAGGGTGAAAGAGCACCCTCTATCCAGTGTTGTAGTCAGGGACATCTATTGCAATGACCGCAGAATTACTTCTCTGGTGTCATCTTGCAGGGCCACATTCCCTGACACGACGTGATTGTCCATTGACCGGGGAAAGTCCAGAATGACGTTTCCACGTCTCGGGACACAACTCTGATATTACAACTCAGAAAATAAATTGGCAATACAATCTGAAAGGAATGTATTTTTTAAGTTTTAAATAAAAGTAAAACCATACGGCACTACATATGTGCTGTGTATGATATCATTCACTGCGGCAAGTGAAGAAACGTGAAACGCATTTCTTACATTGCTTCTGTTCACAGCTGCAAAGGTGATAAGAGTAGTCAGGTTGTGTTTTGGTGTCAAAAATTTTGGGACCAAAAAACATGTTTGGAGGCGAAGTGTGACTTATTTTAAATACCGCTCCCAGTTTGACTCCTAATTTTGTTGACATGAGATATTTTATTTTGGGAACATGAAATTGCATCAGAGCGTGCACATGTCAGAGGGGACTGCGGTGGGTACGATCCCGGCAACCTCGGTTTGATTCCCTGCCTCGCGCATCCTTGACGAGCGACAATGTCTCAACCCGCTGTCAGATTTTTAACAAGTACTCGCCGTTGTGCATGAACATCAGCACTGAGGAGACCACGGAAGCGAAAGTGCAGTGTTGGGCACACCACCCCCCCATGTCCCTGTACCATGTCAGCCTCAGTAGGTGCTCACGAACGGTGGTATTTGTCATTAAATATCACTACATGGTGGTCAGTGTCTTTGTTGTGTACTGGATACAAATAAGTACCACGAACATTTTTTTCTAATTGCAAGATAAGCTCATAACACTGGGGAAATACGAGCCATCTACATGTCTTGACACGTTTGAAGACGAAACTTTTTTGTTTATAGTCTATGCAGACTCTCACTTCAATGAAAGTCTATATGGCTGCAACACATTTTAATTAGTTTGTACCACCCCAGCTGTGTTTGTTTTTATATATATGGATTCTGTCACCACTTTCAGATGTAATTATCTTGCAATGTTAACTATTTTTTCGAATGGAAGTTGTTACGGTTACTTTGCAGATGTAAATGAAAATGAGCTACTGTTAATTTGCAAGAGATGTCGGTAAAATCAAGGAGTGGCCTAATACGTATATAATTCTAAAATATGAATAACTCAATAAATACAATTTTCAAAATACTGTAATATAATCCCTTTTCTATGAGAATGCTCTGCTGGATTTTAAAAATGTGCTCTGGTGGATTAAGTGATTTTCTTTAAGACCTCATGCATATATAACGAAAATGAAATGCCTCAGGCCAAATTATTCCAATAAGCTTGCAAAGCTTCAGTAATGTTTTGTATTTCTACAAAAAAATCTATCATGAAATTAATTGCACTATATAGTGGCTTAATGTGGGATCATATACCGTGCAGCTACCCGGAAGCCCCGTCTGAGTGCTGTGTGTGAGTCAGCTTCACAGTCCGTCTCGGTAGTACTGGTGATTAGATAACCAGTTGGTTGAAATCGTACCCTGTAAAAATAATTTCATTCAGTATCTATGCTGTAGAGCTCGGAAAGAACCACACGTGCAACAGCAGGCCAACACTTGTGTATGTGAACATACCTCCAGGATGTCAGTTGCACTTAAGAAATTATGAATAACTTTGAAATACACAGTAGTGTTAAGATGCACAGTGGTTGGAGCTCTTGAGTACCTTTTTATAATAACCAATTCCATATTCATATCAGTGCTCTTGAAAATGTGTAGTGATAAAGTTATTAACTTTGTGCAGGATCTATAAAACCCTTATTCAGATCATATCATGCCCATGTTGGCCTATAAAATATATAAAGTATATAACCACCTTGCCCCAGCCTACCTTAGAGACAAACTGCACCCATGTGTGTTGCTAGGTTGAGGCTTCGGTCTATGAGTGACCGAGTTGTGTGCCGTGCAGCAGCCCCGAGACTCTGGAATGCCCTCCCACAAGACATCAGGATATCATCAGGATATCTTGAGTCTATAGACATTTTGAAAGCTCGTCTTAAATGTGATCTGTCCACTTCCGTTTATTAAACTTTTAGATAATTCAGCGAATGGCTTAGCAACATTTATTTAATTATTTTACCGTTTATTTTATTGTGAGTTATTTGCCATGTTGTGTCTGCTGCGTCTTGTACAGCAATCTGAGGCCCTCAATGAAAGGTGCTTTATACATAAAATTATTCATATTGTGAAGGAATTACACATATAGCTATATATGCTTGCCATGTCGCTTGCCGAAATGAGGGTATTATACGCATAGTAATTTGGCGTGTATTTTTCAGTAGTTTTTCCTGTAATTCTAACAACATGGCAAGTACTATATGTGCTTGCAACGAAGTGGCTTTAATTGTAGGACACGATTTTCAGCGATCTATTACTATAAGTCATGAAATAAAATATACAAAATGATACAATTATTAAGATAGCCTTCTATTCACTGACAATAATCTGTGGACATACGAAGGCACTGCTTCATCGTGCACAGGGCATTGGCTCAAAATTAAGCATATTCCCCAGTTCATTCCATGTCACTATAGTCCATTCTGAAGTATAATACGTAATCTTTTTTATTTTTCACTGCTGTATTCTCGCATATGATGTAATCTGGATTGAAGAGCCATTTCTTTAAAACTGCTTTTTGTGTTTAGTTTGTTGTCCTTCCCCCGCACCTCCGATTAGTTTGTTGTCGTTCCCCCGCACCTCCGATTAGCACAGTTTGCTATATACAGTGAGGGAAAAAGTATTTGACCCCCTACTGATTTTGTATGTTTGCCCACTGACAAAGAAATGATCAGTCTATAATGTTAATGGTAGGTTTATTTGACCAGTGAGAGACAGAATAACAACAACACAATCCAGAAAAACGCGTGTCAAAAATGTTATAAATTGATTTGCATTTTAATGAGGGAAATAAGTATTTGACCCCCTGTCAATTAGAAAGATTTCTGGCTCCCAGGTGTCTTTTATACAGGTAATGAGCTGATATTATGAGCACATTCTTAAAGGGAGTGCTCCTAATCTCAGCTTGTTACCTGTATAAAAGGTACCTGTTCACAGAAGCAATCAATCAGATTCCAAACTCTCCACCATGGCCAAGACCAAAGAGCTCTCCAAGGATGTCAGGCACAAGATTGTAGACCTACACAAGGCTGGAATGGGCTACAAGACCATCGCCAAGCAGCTTTGTGAGAAGGTGACAACAGAAAGGTCCTGCGAGAGTCTTTAGCCAGACATCAGCGGTGCATTGAGTGTGTTGAAGGCTGGACTTCACACACTCCAGCCCCTGTGCCAGGGCCCTACTACATCTGGGTGCTGCTAATCCAACAGAATACTGGGCCGCAAGAGTCCTGCCCAACTCTATAGCCTCCAAACTAGTGGAGAATACCGCTCGACAAAAACATCAAACGAGAGATCCATTGCCAATTACCCCAGACATTGGCCTCAATTTCCTCACAAACCCCACCGCCATCAGCACAGAGGAATTGAGAGAGGGTTTGGCTGCAATGAAGAAATGCAAGGTTGCCGGCAGAGATGATTCCTCTGCAGAATTATTCTATCATTTTAGACCCTAGGGCACTGCAATGACTGGAAAAACTGTACACCAAAAACATGAAAACTGGATGCATCCTAAAAGCATGGTGGAAGATGATGGTCATTGCTGTACCTAAACCGGGTAAGCCAACTGATGACCCGAAAAGCTATAGGCCAATATCACTCCTGTGCACGACCTATACACTCCTGGAGGGCATAATCATCATCATGATCTGGAGAATCGGCCCCCTCGTCAAGTCAGTGATCCCTGAAGAACAAGTGGGATCCTGGCCTGGACGCAGCTGCTATTTCCCTCGATCTTGCAAATCGAGGGAAACAGTCGTCTTGCCATTAATCAGGACCTTAACAATATCCCTCTTCATCGCTTGAAATCATGCAAGCCCTTTTGGACCCATACGCTTAAGCTTCAGCAATGCAAGTTCAACCCCGATGAAGCTTGAAGAGCTGAATGGAGTTCACAAACAAACACCTTGTGAAAGACCCAACACAGAAGATCCCTGGGTTTGATCTTCTACGAGGGCTCATGGTCCACCCTAAAGCACATACACACAAATCATGGCAGATGCGGATACATTATATACAAATTAAAACTTAAAAACTCTCCAGTAGTGTGCGACTGGTCATCCAGAACAGACCGTGCAATATATGAGACATCTCACCAAGCAACTGCAGCCCCATGTTATTGGCTTATAGAGGTCGTAGCAATTTTTTTACACCTTAATTTACAATTTGAACTGCAAAGTGCAGTATTTATTTAGATATATATTTTTTTGCAAAACTGCTCTGAAACCTGTAACCACATCCCTTGTTTGAGGAGTTTTCATTTCGAGCCAAAAAAAATCATTGGCTCAGATTGTATCCCGAAAAAAAAATGGTTGGAAGCCGGCTTTTCGCTCTGGTTTTCGTTTTAGTGTTACTCCCTGGATGCAACATAATGTAAAAAAAATAGACCATTGTGTGTCCAAGCCAAGGTTTATACTGGGAGGTATTATTATAATGTATATATTAAAATGGAATGAGTCGATCGGTAGATCATGTATGGTGGGGTAAGGTGTGGGTACTCTAAGCTCTTCCAAGACGTATGAGCAGCGTGGAATAGGTTCTCCAGAGCTCCCTTCACTGGATTTCCTTCCGCAAGCAGCGGTGTGAGTAGGCAATTACAGGGCTGCACATCTCCCTTGCTAAAATTGCGAATGAAATCGACTCGAGTCACCATCTCATTGGCAGATGAGATGCCATGTGGGCGTGCGTGTGGCACCTCGCGGCAGGGTTCATTGCGACCTTCGTGCATCACCCCCACCGAGTGTGTCGCCCACACTCCTCATTAACCACTTCTCACGCCTCACTAATTTCATTTCACTGCAAATTAACTTTTAACTTTTTTTTCATATACAGCATAAAAATATAATCTTCTACTTACTTACATGTGACTTAATCTACTTAGGCTTATGAAGATGTGTATGAGAATGGATACGAAGAGGACTATGGTGCCGGCAGTACCTCCCAGACTAACAGGTATGGGAATACATGTACTTTACTCTTGTGTGTAAGGTGAAAATGCAGTTTACTGGAAGTGTCATACCACTGTTTACCGCATTTTATAATGAAGGGCTCTGGGTTGAAAAGGTGTGATATCAAAAATGTATGATTATTATTGGTATAACATGATCATACAACTAGAATACATGTATATTAAAGTGAAACCTGTGCTGTGAATAAAATGATAAACCAGTCCTAAAATATCTGCATAATTATGTTTTAGAAAAGTGAAAACATATACACAATGTACTTTATATGATTATACAGTACATTCTATAATCATATACAGTACATTCGTGTTGATATGGGATTATTTGGGGGAGGTTCTATCATCTGCAAAAAATGTTGCTTGAATGCAGTGTGGCACGGATTATGGAAGGAAAAGCTGTGTGCGACTCCATTCATCAACAAATAATGTGCGGACTAAGGAGAAGTGCAACTACGTGACTTTAGGTTAAATTAATCTGCAGTAAATTGGTGGATTATAAGGTTATGGGTGTTTCTAAGACCCAATTAGGCAATTTTGTCATAAAGTGAAAATATTTGTAAAACATTTTTACACTTGATATCCAAGTCTCAAAACCTACAAAACATGTCACATTAGCACTCCTAGTTTAATACGTAGACTTTCGAAACCAACATTATGCATAATAATGGTTTTTGGGTTAGATCGCATTAGTATAAATGTGTCATAACCCTCCAGCACCAGACACACCAAATTAGTAAGGGATTTGTCAATTAAACAAAACGCCAATTCGTTACTACTTCAGCTCACCGGTGTGTTGCAGAGTAAACCCACAACATTTACAATTTGAGTACGACGTTTCGCTGGTAATTACATCCAGCATCATCAGGCGATTTGCCAGAATAGCACACCTAGTCTGTGCAGATGCAAAGCTAAAATATAAAAATTGCAGCTTTGCGTTAGCCCCTCTGCCACTGCCACGGATTGCCGTTTTGCGGTCCGCGATACTCTTTCAATCCGTCAAGGTGTGCTATGTATTACAGAAGCAGTCGCGAACCGCCAATAATCCACAAATTTACAGCAAACTTGTGATTATTGTATAGCGGATTGTATTTCTGCCACACGACTGAAGATTGATGCTTAAGCAGTACAGGCAGTTCCTCGACTTAAGTCGGTTCGACTTACGTCGATCCACACTCTCGGCAGGTGGCCATTCGCCACAGCCGCGTTGTTAATCACAGCGGTTGGACTCGCACTTACAGCAATGACGCTGACTCAGGCGCCGGTTCTGCAGACAAACAAACATACGTACGCATGTATGTGTAATGACAGGGTGACACCTGCCAGTCTGTAAGGGAAATTACAGTTATAGCTGCATTACATAATGCCTTATTATGAAGGGGCATATCTAGGGTAAAGGTTAAGGGCAGTGTCAGTCGAGAAGCTCCGGGAACCATCCCGAAGGGTCTCATAGGTTCTAGAAAGGGGTGTGGCCAGAGGTGGAGCTTGGCCACGCCAGGCAGATACGTATAAGGAGCACAGAACCAGAGTTTTGAGGCTGTTAGTGTGGGGTCTGGGTCCTGGTTGCGTCGCTGCCATCGTCATCTCTTCGTCTTCGACCACGTGGCTGTTCTTCCGCAAGACCAGCTCTGTCGCCGCCGCTACGCTCGTCAACCAGCCAGCGTAGCGCAGGACAGAGATGGGCTGCGTGTTTGGACAGCCTAGGTGTAGCCGCGTTACGAAGTGTATCGCCCTGTGTACTCTTAATAAATAAGAAGCCTTCTACTCGACGTGTGTCGGAAGTCGCTCATTACATATGTATGTTAAACATGTTTTGCACCATACATAGCCAACCGTACTAATCGGAGGTGTGGGGGAAGGATGTCACCCAGTTGATCTGCCTCCCGACTTCGCCTTCCGGTGCTAAACCTTCTCTGCATTATTAGCTGATGGAAAAGCATTTATTTATTTATTTAAACCTTAAAAATGGCTGATGAAAGGAAAGGTCAGTGATTTCGTGATGGTGTTGAAAAGAGCATGGCAGAAAGGCCATGACTGTATTCAGTCCAAATAAGCCAGGATTACGAGGAATCAAGGTAATAACTTTTCGTAAGAATATCATTGTATTCTATATATGATTGGTAGTCGATTCAACATGCGATATGTATTCGTATAAAAAAATCTAACTTTCTTCAAATATAAACAATATAATTGTTTCTCTGGGAAAACAGTTCTTGACATACATCGTTTCAACTTGTGGCACCTTTTCTAGGAACATTACCTAACATAACCTGACATATGTCCGAGGACCACCTGTACTTTGAATGTTTTGACATTTTTTTTTCATATGAATGGTTGTCTGGTATGTTCTTATTATACAGTGCTGAAGAATACTGTGACTACAGCTACACCCTTACTTTGGGAGAATACGATGACTTTGGTGAGAATCTGCATTGGCACTTTGACACGGACATTAAAAAGACAATGAATTGAAAGATTTTATTCGAGCTTAAACACCCACATATACAGCACCAATTTTGGTTCGGTGGATTAAAGGGCTAGTGCAGGGGTCAGCAACCAAAATAACAAGAAGAGCCATTTCTTTCCAATTCGGTAAAAAATTCAGTATTTCAAGAGCCGCAATGCATCTGAGTACATACTGTACATACGTACATATCGTCAAGAAGCAGCCCGTAAAGAGCCGCATGCGGCTCCGGAGCCGTAGGTTGCCGACCCCTGGGCTAGTGGAACACTTAGCAGGCACTGCGATGACTCCCGAATATGAATCTGTCCAGCAGAACGAGATGAAACTGAGTGAACAGGTGGGGCGAAGATGTGATCATAGCGTGGTCACCAGGCCTCGCAAAGAAGGATATAATGGCAGTTAATTCAGACTGGCCCAAAATGTTCAGTTTTATTGATGACTAGCTTTTCTACCCGATTTCGCCCGGGACTTGGATTCACCATGCCTTTGTCTCCACCGTGGCGATGTTCACACACCACACCAGTTACTCGTTTGAGGCTGAGTAGACCTAGGGGAGGCCCAGGACCGGTTCAAATAATCACCACCGGTGGTGGCCGTGAGCGGGAATCGAACTCGGGTTGCCGGGTTCGTAGTGCAGTGCGCGAATCACTACGCAGTCGCTGCCCCCCTCCACACACAGGATACAGACAAAGACCCCCCGTTTAGCCTGTGAGACTGGAGGGGGCAAGTGCTGTTAGCGAGCACCTATGAAGGCCGGCACGGCACACGTGGGGTTGGGTGGCCAGCACCACGCCCGGCCGCCTTTGTCCCCCCAGTGGCGATGTTCACACACCAGTTACTCGTTTGAAAGCTGTCTCTGGTGTGGACCAATCAGTTTCAAAGACAATGCATATATTATCAGAGTATGTTTTCTGTTTGCATTCTGACCATAAGTATTGTGGTTAATGCAGACATGATTTCTTGTAAAATGTTTCAGTTTGGTGTTTTAACATCTTAACACCTGTTTTGTTTCCAGAAAAAAAGGGGAAAACCTATTCTCATATTTTGGTACTGGCAAAGGAGGTCCCATGAGGATATAACCTGTTCATGATTATTAATGAGGGGGTAAATATAGTAGTCAATTAATACATTCACAGTGGGGAGAGGGAGAGCAGTGGTACCCTGGTTATTACACTGCGTTCTGAACCCCACGGTGACCTAAGTTTCATTGCTGACCATGGCTAACATCAGTGGAGAGCATTATCTGAACAATACCTGGCCCCCTCCTGTCCCCTCAACCAATTAACACTGACCAGCAAGGTGAAGTGTCATAACAATTCCCCCATAGCTGAACTCGTGTGGGAGGGGCCTTCCAGAAGTGGATCGACAAGGGGTTCGGCCCAAATACATCGCATGCAGTTATGCCGTGGATTGAATTTAATATGTTACGATTATAAATCCAACACTGCATATTCCATTTAGGTGGCACGTTCCGTGTGCAATAATCTGATTTTTTTTTAGATGACATATTCAGTGAATTACGTGACATTGTTGATTTGTTCATATGGAACTGGTATGCATTTGAGATGATACGTTGTTTTCAATCGTAACAGTCGTACTCACACTGGTCAACAATATTATGTTTGCTTGCTTGCTTGCTTCAGACCGTGGAAATTTTTCGGTCGTTTTTATACCCACTTCCCGTGATCCAATCGAGCTGCCATTTTGCACACAGATTCGTTGTGCGTGACAATGCATTTTAGTGAGAAAAAAAAATTCCTAAATTTTACACTGTTTAGGGAAAATGTTTTAAATATTTAATTACCAATTGTTTAATGCTGCCAGACAATCATCTGACCCATAGGTGGCAGCCATCTCAAGCCAGAGGACGAGATGACTCTAGCCGCCCCGATGCCACGCATATAAAGTATTTATAGTGAAAAATTTTGTTTTTACGGGTTTACTTGTTATGCTATCGGCATACCCCATTTACATTGATTTTACCCGAAATTAACTCTGTCACTTATGATTGCAAGTTGTTGCGAGTCAGTGACTGCTTTAGTGTTAAAATATGGTGCTGTATTATTAGGATAGTGTGTTTATAATATCATATTATGTAGATATCCACATTTATTTAATATTTTCCTTCTGCAGTTTTTGTTGAGAATGCAATATTTGATATCTAAAAAACCTGATGTGATAGACAAAAACTGATGCCAGATTTGGAATCAGCACCCCAAAATTACCTTTAAACCGTTGCAATACCTTATGCCAGAAAAAGTGTGTTGACCAGTGTTATGCTCCAAATGTAATGCTTATATGAACATTTTAATTATACATTTCGAAGCCCATGCTTACAGCATTTAATTGTTTATATGTTCACTCTGCTATGCATGCACATTGCAACTCATGAAATAGAATACCGTGACCTTTTCCCACATTGCTTTGCAGAGTTTAAACTGTTGTGACATCTTGGACCATGTTATTTGATATTTTAGTACAAATCTGCACCTTCATTTTTGGCCCATTAGTGAAAGGGGGGATGTGTTCCCTATAACAGCTCAAAGCACAACATGCGTCAGAAGCAGCGCTTTACTTGTGCTGATGAAGCATATTAACAAGTGAAACCAGCACATAAAGGCTTTGCTGCCGTAAAGCGGATGTGCCTTCAGTCTGGTAAAAGCTAGTGACTGAAGTTCAGGCTCCTGTGCACATAGCGTGCAAATTTAAAACCCGGTCAGACATTATTTCTGCTTATATAAGCCTCCGGGGTTGATTAAATGATTACTAACTTGTGAAATCTAAAATTAGCATTGTATAAATAGACTGGCCCTTGCCATTTCCATGATTGGATCAAGGTCACCAACATAAATATGTATTGGTCAAAGCTTCTATGAGAAAGTAGACCATTCTGCTTCAGACATAGACACCTATAAATAATTAGAATCGGAAAGAAGGCTGATAAAACATTGTCAGCACATCAACAAATTGTTCCGGGAGAATGAAGCGCACGTCAGTTTTCGAAAAAAAAATCCCACTTCTTCTATCAACCATTCATTGAACAACGCATCATTTACTCGCCACGCTTCCACGTTCATTCTGTATTGTAACGTGTACAGGACCAAGCGATCACATAGCCCTAACGTTGAGTCGGTCGTCGTTGTTGCTGTAGGTCAAAATGGGTGGTCCAATACCAATGGCCTCCTCAAAGCAGCGCCAGTGTGGAGCATGAAGGGCGCCAACAGGGAACACCCCTATGGTATCTATTGACATCTTGTTTGTTGTGCACTGAATATTTGTCTGCTGTTCTAGACTTCATCGCGTGTCATTTTCAAAACGTAGTGTTAGACTTTGTGGCTGTAATGCTGACGCACACATTTCGCGTACTTTGCTACGAATTGGTGTACATTTTGCATTTTGCGTGCGCCAAATTTTGTTACAGCTACCGCTTGTCTGTAGTGAAATAATTAAACCTATACGTCTATGGTATGTAGTTTGTCGGATGAATAAGTACGATCATGAGCAATTTAACAACTTTTTAAAACGCAAGCTGTCTGTAAACCTTATTTGTTTTAAGGTGTATTCTAATTATGGCAAGCATGAAGATCTAATAATTTTTAAACAATTACACTAAGTAAATACCAGTTTTGTTTTCATACTTAAATAGATGCAATTTAAAAGCAAAGGCAAATGTTATTTATGGCACAATTTATGTTCAATATAAAGTAAGTACCCTGCTATCAATAATGATTAAATGCGAATTAAAGTAAGATAATTTTTGTACATAATTTACATTTGAATCGTAATCTATAATGCTGAATTAATCATATTTGCTTAAATCGATCGCATAAAATGTTATTGTATGAATAAAAGTAATCTTATTACGTAGTTCTGTGTGCTGTTTTAAATATATCGGTTAATACTTTAATCTTATAAGTGACGTAAACACTTTGCTTTGAAACATTGCAAAATAATTGCGTTCAGAGCATCGCACTGGTCTATTGACTAACGGTTGTATTATTGCACAGTATATGAAATTCACGGAAAATTATATCGCAGCCTAACTGCCGTTGCACTCGACGGTTTATTCAAAATGTAAACTTCACCTGCAAGTAATCCAACTTTAACGCTGTGCTAAAACGAAGTTACCTTTGTGTTGTCTCAACGCTAGTTAACCCCCCTCGTACATATCTATAGGCAGGCGCGTTTGATTAATCCATGCTGATTCGAATGAGAATTTAGGGGATTTCAAAGGATCTCTAAAGCAATAAGCACCTCAGCAATAGAAGGTAACCCTAATACTTTGTCTTAATCGCATAAAACTTCATAATTTTTGTTAATTGATTTGTAAAAAAAAAACATTAATTACGAGATGCACTAAGAAAATGTAACTTGATATTTCAACAGGAAGAGTCTTAATACCAGTGGTACTAATTTAAAGGTAATACAAACTAAAAGCAACTTAATACATGCCATGGTAAATGTTAATATTCCAGCGAGCATGAAATATAATACACTTGTTTATAATGCTACTATCTTAAAATATATCTTTAAAATGGATCACAGTATAATTTGTATTAATACAAATCTAATGAATGCAATTCATACCAATGCACTGCTGCAGAATGTTTACAATTTGTTGTGATCTTACGTCGAAAATAATGATTACATGATACGACAGATGGGTTTACATAGATAATATGTGATAGTCATTGTTCTTTAGAATACTGGCAATAATGTGCTTAAATGTTTGCGAAATAATTGAATGTTGTGCCGAGTTTTAATTTTGCACTTTTTCTTGCTTTAGGAGAACGATAGTACTGTTGTACCCAGGTGCAAACTACTTGGTAGGTAAGTCTCTTATAAAGCAAATTTTTGCATCCCTCTGAAGTCGTGACTAAATAGATATGCTTTACATTTAAGAAAACTGAATGCATCTACGCATTTATGAACATGATCACACCTCATTCAGTCACAGAAACAGGGCATGGATGGAATGTTTTCCATCTGTACGGGTCATTTAGCATTGCCGTGTGTGAAGGGACATTGTGTTAGACTTGGTTAAAGTGAAACATTTATAGACTGATAAGCCCACAGTAAGTTACTTTGTTGAAAAGAGTTTTCATCGTAAGAGATGCAACCTCCATAAACAGCAAGGGTGAGGGTGGGCGTGCCAAATGTATGCTATGTGTGCACAGTGTAACTTCAGTCATTATCATTAAACACCTGTCACATTCCATAGTTGAATAGAAATAAATGCTTAAAACTAATCAACCAGTATCTCAACTGAAGTTTCATTGCTGCGTGTCGATTATTAGTAAACGCACAAGTCTATTACCACGTTGCTTTAAAGTTGGCGAGCTGTTTTTGGCATGTCCCATTACTACCAACACTAGTTCTGCTTGATTCACGATGCAATTAATTGTTGATTGGGTTATTGAGACCTTAGAAAGTACCTTATAATGTTGGCTGAGAAGACCCCTTATCCACCAAATCACCCACAATGTTTATAGGATTGTCCAAGGAGCGTGATGGATGCACTGACACTGTTATAAGTAATTTATCCCAACTTATGTTATTTACTATGCTGTCACATGCATGTAATGCCTTTTAAATATTTACTGCCTATCTTGTCCTGTAATGGCATGTGACCCCATGCTTCTACTGTGACCGCACAATAAATTATATGCTGCATTTCATTTGTGTCCCTGGACACGATATTTGACGTAAATAATATTCCAGTAAGGTGGACAAATGTAGAGCTGAATTTATGACATGATTCTCTTGATGTGATTTTTTTCCATTGTTTCAAAAGGGAGCCCGAACACTGTTCACATGGAAAACCTGAATATACCATTCTCATAGACTGCATCAATATATAAATGTCATTGACCTTTGTTCTCTGTTCATTCCTACATTTATTACAATATACATAATCATTTAGTACATTCTGGAAAGCTGAGGAAATATTTATATATTTTGGGAAACAAAACACTTGTTACGAGTCACTGGCGGGCTTTGAAATTAATTGCTAATATGTTTAAATATTTAGAATGATTTTTTGAAGTGTTTAATGTACGTTTGTACGTGTGTGTGATCATTATGTTATGTTTGTAAGTTAAAATGTGAACTTATACAGATTGTTTGCTGTCTTTCAGGTGAACATTGCGAATAGAGCACCGGCCACCCAACTATTCACGTTGGATTTCGTTTAAATGTTAATTTGTTTTTACCTTTTAGCTATACAACTTTACTTAACATCCTCTTGGTCTCTTAACAATTTATAAAATCAATTATTTATATAATAAACAATATTGGCAAGAATCGACCGATGTGTGTGCGAGTTTTTTCGTGCCTTTTCCTATGCGTGTCTTTTAATAAGCTTGTTTTTTTTACAACTATAAAAATTATTGAAACGTTTTGTTACCTTGATCTTTAATAAAAAAAATCAGAGATTTAAACTAAACTTTTTTTATTTTACCAGGTGAGGCCCATTGAACTATAGATCTCTTTTCCAGAAGTGACCTGGCCACAAATGAAAGCGCAACAAAGTGGATTATCATGTGGAGAGTTATGGAAGCCAAGTGGAGGGTAAAAACCGGAGGACCCGGAGAAAAATCCATGCAACCACAGGGAGATCATACAAACACCAAATATACAGGCGTCGGGGTAGGGATCATACCCATGACCCCATGTATACCAGGCGATGGAATTAACATTTCTGTTTAATTTTTTTCCCTGAATGACCGTTACTATGTTCCATATATATATCCATATTATATAGCACAGCACGTCTTGACCTGTGTGTTTGTGTGCTACCCAGATTATGATACTTCAGTCGCGATATCACATTAATGTTATGAAATCAAGGAAACTCCCCTCACTGCGAAAATGAAAACCTGTAGCAAAGTATTACAATTCACACATCTGTCAGTAGTAGTTACCTAATTGTTATGAACTCTCTGGGTACTTTAAATACAATTGCACCTTTCCTTCAGCTGCAAATTATGTCAGTGAGTGCCTCTAGCTATTTCACAGAAGCAATAGTGAATGCTTTAAAGAGCATTGTTATTTAATGTAGCAGTTATTGATTCAATGTGTAATGATTAAACATGTGTGCCAACTCAAGAGTGGGATGGATAACAAAGCCGCATACAACGTGTTACATTCAAAAAGCAATACTATATGGGTTAAATGTTTAGTGTTTTGTCAATTCATGCCATACCGAACGTTGGGAGTCGTTAGTCCATACTTCACGATACTGGTCAGTGCCGGCTAGTAAAGGGGGTGGAAGGGAGGGTGGCGTCAACACAGATTCGGATAACATTTTTTGTTAATGTTAGATTTGGCCGGGAATTAAACATGCAGTTGTGGTGTTTGCACTGCATTACAGCTCTCCCCTTGAGGGCAACGTTACCTAAACAAATTACGTTGGTGATGCTGATGCATTGACAGTGGTACATAGGCAAAAACAACAACAAAAACTACAACACAGTGGTCAATAAGACTGCCTTAAAATAAAACAATAGCTGACGTTTTGGGCAATGACCCATCTTCTGAACATGTTAATTGATTTATGTGTTAAATTTCAATGTATCGTTCTTTGAAGAAGGATCATTGCAATTGCCTGACACGTTGCCAAAAAAGTATATATTTCAAGTCAGTGTTATTGACCAATGTGTTCAGTTTTTAATATTACATATGCTCACCGTTGCTTATACTATCAAACGCATTCTTATACAGACAATTGGAAGGTAAACCGATAGTAAATATATTCATTGAGTTAATAATTCCATATTACGTCATACAATTCCCACGAGGATCTGCGTTTTATGAGAGAACGTTCAGCATCACATCACCAGCAGTGTCCTAAGTAAAGAGTACAAACGCTGCATTAAGCTATTTACATTTCATAACCTGACCACTGCATAACAATGAACAAAAGATGACAAACAGCTGTCGGAGGCATTATTATTATTATGAAACCTTCTGCTCTAATGCCTGCGGTGTTACGAGAGCCGGAGATAATGCAGTTGGTCACATTTCATTAGACGGCTGGGAAATGCGAATAACTGCAGAGGTGATAATGTGCTTCACACTAATCAACCTGCGTTCATGGAAGGCAGATTTGGAGGATGGTGCCACGCTAAGAGTGCAGGGAGTTCAAATCCCTCTGTTCCTCAGATCTCATTTGCCAAAAATATATTATCTGAATGTGTTTCCACTTGGAAAAAAATATAACATTATCCAAGCACACTACAAAGTTGTGAGAAGTAACATTATTATGATTCATTATTGAATCAATAGCTTAACTTGCCCGTGAAATGTCACAGTTTAGCTCCCCACTCACGGCTCAAGACCCTGCTTGGTCCTTCCGTACGGTTGATTAACTGCGCCTTAAACGAAAATACCTCTTATATGTGCCCCGATTATCAGCAACTACTTTAGCCACAGCATCTGTATAGCAGTGTCTGCAAAAAACACGTGCAGCCCTGTTCTTTTATTATCAGAGCATGTTTATATTACCAGAGCATCCATAATACAGTTTTCTTTTTGGGTTATATCGTGTAATTATGTGTTGTTAAACCCGCCACCACCCGACACAGCTAATTAGTAAGGTTTGTCACGTAAAACAGAACATGCCGATGCGTTACTAGTACAGCACACCGGTGTGTTGGAGAGCAAAGCCACAACATTTACAATCTGAATACAACGTTTCGCCAGTAATTACAACTAGCTTCATCAGGCGACAGCCAAATCTAACGACAGCTAAATCTGGTGTGCTGTACTAGTAACGATGTTGCATGTTATTTTACGTGACGAACCTTACTAATTGGCTGTGTCGGGTGGTGGCAGGTTGAACGACACATTTCTATATTCACACGATCTAACCCAAAAAACCTGTATTCTGGATATTAGTCGTGAAAGCCTACGTGTTAAACTTATCAGAGCATGTTTTATTTGCATGTTCACCACAAGTACGTGTGGTTAATGCAGACATTATTCCTTGCAAAACGTTTTTATTTGGTTTTGAACATCTTAACACCTGTTTTATTGCCAGAAAGGGTAAAACCTATTCCTATTTTTTCATACCTGTTCTTCCTATCCGTTTTGATTACGCTCGGGTTTTCCTACCCCTGCATTGTGGCTTTGCGGCTGCTGCTCCCTGAAGGGTATTTGTCCATTCCTTAGCACTCGAATATGACATTTAAACACCCAGCGCACGCACACAGCTATTGTATGTGCCCATGCACACGCAGCGAACGGATGGCATTCATTGCACAGGGCAATGCACATGCTGTGCATTGTACACTGCATGCTTCAGTCCAGTGGCGGCTCCTGCAAAATCTCTCAGGGGGGGCAAATGTCTGGATGATTGATAAGGATAAGGTCCACCCATGCAATGGATAAATTAACAGCTTAAGCATGTAAAGGCAACTTCACTTCTTTAATATTAATGAAAAATAAAGTGACTCTTACAATACATCTTGTTTGTTTATATACTCACTATTAAAACAAACCACTCAAGTTTATTTTATTAAAGATTCCACTAGGTAGCGATAAATTATATTGTTGGATGAAACGTGCTTACGTATGATGACGTAAGCACGTATGATGACGTAAGCACGTTTGGGCTTGCCCTCCCGGAAGCCATAGAGAATGCATTGGAGCGCACCCGTTCGAAAAAAAACATCTTTGAATGTAAGTCTATGGGGCCACTCGGGGCGATTCTCAGCCGGAGTGAAATCGCCCCAAAAGAGGCGGTACTCCACAGAACGTGACATGACGCTGATTGGACTATATCCAGAGGCTGACAGTGACGGCTAGCGTGACTCTGTGGTTGAATGACATTGGTGGTGCGTCGCCCAATCGCCCTAATGAAGAAACCGCCCCTGCTTCAGTCGCTTCTTAAACACTCTTCCTCTTAACCGCATCTTTTGTTGCGGATAATTTTGAGCCGCGTGGCAAATTCTTTCTGTAATTCACGGGTTGTCCAAGGGTATTGACCAGTATGCGATTTGTAAAATTACATCAGAATCCTATTCACAATTATTTTTTTTTTTTGCAGATAAGGCATTCAATGACATTCATATTCTTATCTGCACTTATCCACAGTTATTTCTCGTGGATATGCAGGGTAAATATCGTGGATAATAGGATCAACAATGTTCTTTCACATCATTATGGATAAGAAGAGATCTGCTGTATGTCTGTCCAGCTCAGACTGGCTCTTTTGAAGCAATGGCACACAGGTAACATTGATGCAGGTGAAGGAAGCAATAGTACAATTGTAAAAAATTTAAGCGGGTAGTGTTGATCAAAAACCCACCTGTCATTGTTGTTTTTTGTACTTCGTCATTGTCTATGACAACGCTTTCCATTGCAAATGTACTGAAGATGGTGAGGTCTATATAACCTCATTTAAGCCTTTCACGGAGCAGATGGATGGATGATTGAACAACCAATACATTTAAATATGGATTATGAATTCATATTATACTCCATGTATATTCCGAACAGATTCCAAGGTTAAGCGTATCTATAATCCAAAGGGTTAATATGCTCAGACAGAGAGAAAAAACGCTTCATTATGTAGATAAGTCTTTCCCAATATTATTACTGTTTAACTGCCGTCAATTTGCATTCAAGACGTGCCCCCTATTTAGACTGTATTTTACTTAGGTTGACTTACTTATGTGTAAGATAAGATACAGTATTCTAGTTTTTAAAGAAAAACTGTTTTTTTTTCTCTTTATTTCCATAAATACCTACAACTCAACCAAATTGAAATTCACCAGAAATGCTCGAATGTATTTTTCTGAGCGAGATGGAACGCCATATATGAATAATGGCAGTTTCACGCCTTAATGTGACGTTGAAGGCTATACTTTTCATCGGACAAAAAGAGTCCGAAAAAGCACTTCTACCCTACTCCTGTAATCTAACATTAACTATTAATCCCAACTTGTCTGCAATCCCATCGTCAAGTGAACAGCAGTTACCATTAATTGTTTTGCTATGTCTGTATGCTGTCAAACACTTGCACGTGGGTATTATTAGCCACATGCTCTATGTATGCTGCCCCGGTGATTTGAGAGCTAATTGTATGTAATTAGGGACACTTTCCTACTGCGCTTGCTGGGGCACAACCACGTATTTTGCATAATTTATTCGGTCCAGGCAATTATAAAAAAAATGTATCAATGGAAAACCGGGGAAATAGGGGTGACACATTACGGAGAAATGCGAGTGACTATAAATATTAACACTCAAGTTGGGTTCAATTGGACAATGCTTGCCACCAATGGCGGAGCGA